TTTCCTAATGGCCAATCCGAACCTTCTGAGAGGCAATTTTTGGTCATGGTCCCTTTTGTATCATCTGCCACTACTGGGAAGGGTTTAATTACGTCATCTTTGTAGCACCATGTAGTTGCAGGCTTCCAGCAGGTTCCCCTTAGCTTCCTCTTCACCAAAATAAACAAGGTTCCTCGGCCTGTCCTCTAGACTTGTAACCATCATAGTAGCCCTGCACTGGACCCTCTCCAGTTTCTCCACATCCTTCTTGAACTGGAGCCCAAAAAGTTATTCAAGGTTAGGGCTCACAAGCACTGAGTAGAGGTGGGTAACAACTTTCCTGGATCTGCTGACCACATTCCTCCTATATGTAGCCCAGTGCACTATTTAAGTTATTCACAATGAGATCACTTTGTTTGTTCATATTCAACTCAGGAGCCCCTGTAGCCTTCAGATCATTTTCAGCAGGCCTGACAAATAGCAAGTTCCTTCCTTGCCTGTACTGGTGCATTGGGGTTTTTGTTCCCAGGTGCAGAATTTTGCACTTATTGAAGTTTCTAAAACAGAAACCTCCAAAAGGTTTCTTTTGCCTGGGCTTCCAGTGTCTCATGGTGTTTCTGAATTGAAGTTCTACCAGTCAGCACGACAGCCACATGTCCTGATTTTGCATCATCTGAAAATCTAGTGAGTGTACATTGTCTACTCATATGAGCTGTTGATGAAGATGCTTAACAGTATCTTCATAGCGGTCCATTGGTTACTGTGCTCGTTTTCAACCACTGACTGGACATCAAACCATTGATCCTACTCTTTGGGCTTGGGGTCTGAACAATTTTCAGCCCACCTACAATCCTTTCATTCAGTCCATACTTTCTCATATTATAAGTGATGATGCATTTGGAAATAAGTGTCAAAAGCATAACTAAAGTAAAAGTATATTGCGTTCACTCCTCTCCCTTCATCTGCATGGCCAGACATTTCATCGTAGTGGGCAACCAGATTGGTAAGGCATGATTTGCGCTTGGTAAATCCTTGTTGACTTTTCTTGATTGTTGTCTTGTCCTTTACATGTTGGAAATTGATTCCAAGAGGACATGCTCCACGATTTTTCCGAGGACTAAGGTGAGGCCAACCATCATATAGTTTCTTTGATCCTCATTCTCACTTTTCTTTAATATGGATGTAAAATTAATGTTTCTCCAGTCATCAAGGATGTCCTGTAATAGCAGTGATTTTTCATGGATGATAGCCAGTGGTGCTGCAATCACATCGTCAGCTCTTTCAGCACCCATGGATGTATCCCATGTGGCCCCGTGTATTTGAACACATACTGCTTCTTCAGGTATTCACCAACGTATTGGTCCCCCCCACTCTTAGCCATCCCTCTCCTGCCCAAACTGTACATGCAGAGGTGTGGGAGCAGACTTGGACTAAAAAGCCAGAGTCAAAAATGATATTGAGTGCTGCAGCCTTTTCTGTATCATCTATCATTATCTTATCTCCCCTAGTAAGCAATAGACCTACATTTTCTTTGAACCTCCTTTTGCTGCTATCATACTTGTAAAATTAGATCTTGTTACCCTTTAATGTCCCCCATTAATTTTAGCTCCAGATGGGTTTTGTCCTTCCTAGTTTTGTTCCGGTGCCTGAACAATGATTGTATACTTGTCCTTTGTTTCCTGTCATTGTTTCCACATATGCGCTCTCAATTTCCATAATTTCCATCTCCATATGTGCTTTTCCCATTTTAGTTCATTAAGAAGCTCCTTACTCAGCCAAGTGGACCTTCTGCATACCTTGTCTGTATGTGCTGCTTCCTCATGTACTTCTGTGTTAAGTCCCTGTTCAACGACAGACAGTCCTCCCCATTAGATTAGCAAGTCTCTTCACAAAGTTGTTCTTCCCTCTCTTTGCCAGGTAGACCTATTCTGTAAGTTATCTTTCCTCATCAGATTGGATGCCACAAGCGAAATAGTTGAAGCCCAGCTAGTGGCACTTAATATGTAGCCATATGTGGTCTACTGGATACATCTGCTGCTATCCAAACTTTTCCCTTTTGCCATAGGATCGGAGGAACACCACCAGGATACCTGTCCCCTTCACCTTTGCTTAGGAGCACTACAGTCACTTTTGAACTGCAGTGGTTTCGCATCACTATGTCATTGGTGTATGCCCAAATAAGCAGAAAAAAAAGTCAAAACATTAGGTGACCCCAAACAGACTTTCGGCAACACCACAAATTGAGGCTCCATGCAACCAAGAAACCTCCTTAGTCATTAAGTCTGACTGGAAGAGAGTCACCAAGCTCTCACTGTCACTCATCACTTTCTCTCAGTTGTGCTCTGATATGGTGTCCAACCTGGGTTCTTCCTCTGAGGGAGCTTGCTCTTCCCCTCCGCTGCCTGGGTCCTGCGCCACTGAGCAGCCTTCCTGCTGCCAGAAGTCACAAGCTTCCATTTTCCACCCTCTGAGGAGTGCATGTCCCACTGCATCTTGCCTCAGCTGCACCTCTCCTGTCTGTTGCATAGGCTTTTACACCTTGAAAAATCCCGTCAATCACCTGTTTGTCACCCCTAATGCAATAAAACACGCTTGCCTCTTCCTGCAGCTCCTCACCTGCTGCTGCAGCAACTACAGCAGAGCAAACCTCCCTTCAGGGAGGTCACCCTCAGGGGTCCATCTGCACAGAGGTTGCCACAGCACTGCCGGTGACAGCAGGGGCAAGGTTTGGTTATACCTCGTAGCAAGTCATCACCATTTGGGTGTCATCATCTTATGCAAACAGCACATCTGGGTCTCTCGTGTGTCAAGTGCCAAGTTAACTGTCTTGCTTGTTTGCACATCCCACTGGCAGCGCTCCTTGGTGCCCTTCCTGAGGGTGTCAGATAAGTCGGGAACTCCAAGCATGGTCACTCAGCCTTGTGCAAGAGTTCCCACTTGGCAGGAAACCTCTTGCACTGCCTGTGAGTTCCTGGGCACAGCACCCTCCTTAGTGAGTGCTGGGTCTGCTGAACGTTTCTGCTCCCCATGCTGGATCCTAACGGGCTGGAAGAATAGTGGATGTAGTTTACTCAGCACCAGTCTCACTTGCCAAATGAAGAGGTACTGTTGAAAAGGTTAGTTTCAGAATCTACCCAAGTGGATAGGGCTGTCCAAAAGCATTTTAAAATCAATTTACTGCAATTCTGATCCATGAATAAGAAAAAAATAGTCTTGGAAACATGGAAATATTTATTACCAGAAGTTAAATATGCTTATTCACTTGTAGGAGATAAACTGGGTTTCAATCACTGGCTAATGATTTTAGAATTCATTTATGTTATTTTATAGTAAAACACTCAAATATTGTCACTTTCCCCTGTCTTACAGCTGCACTTGCAGTGCACTGGCAATTTAAAATTTATGGTAGATTATTTCTTGCAATCACTAGCTGTGTGTTCTAGGAAAAGGTCTTCTGCAGGGACGTTGCTTGAATAGAAATAGGAATGCAGATAGGCTTGTATAGGCTGTGACAGAACTGCAGACTTTGAAAGAGGTTAGTCTTTCAGCAACTATAAATTAGCAATATAAAATCAATCCCTTTGAGACTTAAGCAGTCAAAGTATAAGACTGAGTAAAATAAGGTGAGTGTATATTAATTTAAGAAAAGGGCAAAGAAAAATGTTTAATGTTTGTAGATTGTAAGTATGAGGAAAAAGCGTGTAGGGAAAAAGTGATATTGGTAGATCTTACAAAATGCTACTGTTAAATTTCTTTTTATATATCAATTACTTTTGGATATATGCTATACAAGTGCAAAGTTTCCTTCGCTTGGCTCTGACTCTGTTTCTGATGGAGATTAAGATCACTTGTACCTTTAAATCACGACTGATTAGTTCTCTTTATTCTTGGTGTTTGGTTTTGGATTTTTTTCATTTGAAATGTGATTCACACTGTAATGCTCAGCGATCTCCATCAAACAAGAGTATGATAGAACTGCAGAACTCCTACGAAAAACAGGAGGCTAAAAAGTTACTTTGCCTTTATCTGCTTGAATTGAATTGCATACTTAAACAAACAAAAAACTGCTTAATACTGTATGTGACTAAGCTTTGAACGAATTTTTTAAAGGAGTGGTAAACTTTCTCTTCATTATGGTCTTCAAAGTCAAGGCTGGATGCATTTGTAAACTGGCAAAGAAGGGAGTTCAAAGAGAAATTCTTAGCTGAAGTAGTTCCCATTGCTTATACAGGGCATGTGGCTAGATAATAATAATTCTCCTGGGCCTTAATATCAAGAATTTATGTTTTTTAAAATTCGTATTTTAAATTACACTTGATGCCTATTTATTACACATAATTAATAATTCAGTTAACGGCTTTATAGTATGTAAGCTGAAAATAGTTTTTGCCTAAATATTACATAAGACATTGTGTGGAAATGCAGTTGGCTGGGCAGTTTTTTTATATGGATGGAGCATGATGTGTTGAGCAAATAAGTATGCCAAAATATATAGTAGTAATGTATCCTTGAGGTATGGTATTAGGTCTCATGAAATAAATGCCTTGAAATAAAAAAAAAAAAAAAAAAAAGAATTTTTCAGAGGTTTCAAAGGAATTGCTGTGGAAATTGCCAGAAATGAGAATTTTTCTCATTTGGTGAGTTTTTTCAGTCATTGCTGTGGAACTGTGTTTGCAGAAGCAAAACCAGGAAGCTAATCTGTAAAAGAAATATGAATTGTTAACCTTTCTTAGATCAATGTTGGCAGATTTTTTTTAGACTTTATTTTATTAGGTAAAAGGGTAGTATTAATAAACACTGAAACATTAAAACCAAACCCTATTTCCATGAAATGACAAAAGAATTTAGAAGTTTTTTGATAAATACACTTTGAAGGTGGTCCTCTTCATTTCCAAAATTTTCTCAAGAACAAAGGAATAGGAAAAATTAGAATATATCTAAGCATGTCAAGGGTTAGCTTACCATTTTTACTGTGTACCATAAAAAGGTGTTTTTTAATGCTAATAACCTCTTAATTGCAGGAGGAGGAATTGGAGGCCCAGATTTCATTTCTACAAGGACAACTAAACGACTTGGAAGCCATGTGCAAATATTGCGCGAAGATGATGAACACACATCTTGGTAAGTGCCGTACCCTGTATTAACCTGTAAATCTTTGCAAAGGCTCTTTTCATGTTTGTGTTAGAACTAAAATAATGTTTATGTAGTACAGTGCATATTATTTTGTAAGCCGTGAAGAAGATGGAATTGATGTACCCAGTTGTTCTGTACATTGCTGCCAACCGCTGTATCTTTATACTGTCATACTTTAGAACTTGGGAGTTTGGTAGCCACTGATGATGAAAAAAAGAGCAGAGGCGTTTTGGCACAAATGCCCTTTGTCTGTTCCTAAGATTTCTTATATCATAAGAGACATGCTGGAGCTCACAGGATGTGAGCTTACACTTTTTAAGCCCGTTTGCAGTTCAGCAGTCCCAGAATACTTGATATGTGCAGTGATAGTTGTATAAAATTCATATGCTTTCATTAAATGTAGCATTTTCACCATCTATGCTGATCACCTTCAGCATGTAAAAATGTTTTACTATAGGCTGGCTAGTTTGTAATATTTTGCTCAGACCAGAGAAACAGAGTAAGATAGAATTCAATATATTGGGAACAGAATCAGCAAAGGCTCCAATCTAAAATTCTATTTATATATTGTCAAGAAAAATCAGAGAAAGTAAACAAAAAGCTTTAATCAATTCAGGTGTAAATATGCTTAGCTGTGCTTTAATAAAAGTATTTTTAAACTGTGTTGAACTGAAGTCCAAAAGTTAATATATTTAGTTATGTGAAAAAGCACTGTTGTTAAGAAATCAGGGCACAACTGCAATAATTTTACAGTTTACTTATAGCCTACAACATCTAAGCAAGATAAATTGAAGTTGAATGTTTCAGTGGGTAAAACTAAGTATATGATACCTAAGTTTGCCAGGTCAAAAAGATGAGATGTGAAAGCCATGCTATACTTGTATTTTCATTTTCTTTTATGTGAGTGTTTAGTAGCCACTGTTACGAGCCTAGGAAAAGCTATAAATATTGTGTTATTTGAAAGTTTGGAATCACAGCCTTCAAAAGCCAAGTGTAAACCTCTAACCCCAACAGCTTTAGTCTGATGTATTGTATTGCTTCTGTGAGGGTACATGAGCAAAGATGAGAGAAGGGATAAATTATTAGCTACTGAAATGATGGGGAAAAGATTACTGTGTCAAGAAGAAAAGCTGCAGTTTCTTTCCTTTTGGAAAGAAGACAAGGAGTGTTTAGCAAGGGCATCAGTTCAAGTATAAGCATAAGCATTTCACCAGCTATGGCTTTGGACTAGAGATCAGAATAAGTCCAAAGATGCTTGAAGTAGTCTGCCTTTCGGCACTGGATCCGTGAAATAATCAGAATAAGTCCAAAGATGCTTGAAGATCCTTTCGGCACTGGATCCGTGAAATGAGAGCAAAAGATTTGTGATAATACCCAGGTGTTAAACTCTTTTTCCTACATACATTAGAAACAAAAACATTTAGTGCCAGTAGTCTCCCGAGAGCATTGTGGAGCGGTTTGTTACCCTCGCAGGAGAGGGAAAGCCATCCCCTGTACAACTTTGGCTGCAGGGGTGCACCAGGTGCATCGTGGCACCCCTGCAGCGCTCTCAGAGCCTTCCAGCCTAGTTTCTTCTAAGTCCCGCTCCCTGTACTCCTTCACAATATTCCTGCATGTCTTGTCAACATCATGGGCTATTAACTTTGTAAATTTGGGTTACACTAATGCATTTAAATCCTATAGTGATTAATAGTTACGCACGATAAACAGAGCACAAGAGAGACTGAGTTACCACCAACCTTCACAGCTTCTGCACTTGTAGCAAACTGATGAGGTGAGGTATCCCCAAATCAGCCAGCAGACAATCCATGGGAAGGCAGGAAAAAAAAACCCATGAGGATTCTTGCTGGTCTGACACATGCAAAATCCTTTCTGACCTGAGAATCTGAGCACCACATGCCAACAGGCTGTCCAAGAAAATGGATTTTCTATAGCATCACAGAACACCCCCTGAGGATTATCTGCAGTGTCCATCCGCTGCTCGGGGCTTCAGGAAATGGCAGCAAAATAAAACTCAGAACATATCTGGTCATTTCTGGGTTAAGGGAAAAGTTAGCAGGGGCTGCTGCTGCACCCCGTCTGATTCTCCCCCAGGTGTCTCCCACCCATGAAAACTGCTTAATTTCAAAGACCACAGAACAGATAATGATGAGTTATATCACTCCTCTTGTAATCTGTCAGGACACTTAACTTCAAGGATATTGCTTCTTCATGTGAGGCTTCATCACCCAGCTTTTCGCTTTTGTAGCATTCTTGCTAGCAAGGTTGAAAATCATTTAACTTACCTATACACAGTGATTAAGCAATGTCTCAGCACTGTCTTTGCTGGGTACGACAGTTTCAGATTAATTTTATAGGTGTTGCTTTTTAGACCAAATCATTTTTGTGGTCTTCCTTTGAATTCTTCAGGGTTTTTATACACCTTTTGAAGTGGGTTAATCATATCAGGATATGCTGTACCAGCACTGGGCTCAGCAAAGTGGTTACTTAGCCAGGGGAAGGTCATCTCTCTACTCTTATGTGGCATTGCTCTTTTTAAACATTTTTAATGCAGCGTCACATTAGTGCTCTTTGATACAGCGATGGATTGAGGTGATAACCCATTATGACCTTTAAAATTTGGTGAATCACAGCTTTCTAAACAGAGGATATTTCAGGTAACTCTGCAATGTACTCTGTTTTCTTCTACCACTCTAACGGGAGACTTAGCCATCATACATTTAATAGTTGTCTAAATTATTGATAAAAACATACTGTTGTGTAAAATTTGAGGACCCTTCCAGAAGTAATTCCTTTAACAAAGAGTTAGACAATGTTTTAAAGAATTATCAGTAAGTCAGTTTTTAGTCTAAGGCCTTCCTTTTAAATTGTATAAAGTTTAAGAATCTTATTTTTAAAAAAAAATAACCAACATTTTTTTTAGTTTGACATTTTAAACAGTTTTTTCAGACATTATTATTCAACCAATATTTTTTTTTCCTGTATTGACTGCATTATATTTGCAGGTCACTTTTTAACAAAGCAATATTAATTCAAGCTTATGAAAATGCATATCCAGTGCCCATTCACCACAGAATTATTTAATTTGCACTATAAATCAGAATGTCAAACAACTATAGAATGTTCTTTTCGCGGTTTCCAGTGAAACAATTCCGAATTTTTTTGGCTGTCTTTTCTCAGGTTCTTTCCCTTACAAGGGGGATCCTTACAACCGTCAGGGCCAGTTACTTCATGACAGAGATGTCATGTGTTGTAGCTCAGAAATGATCACAGTAACCAGGAAGTCATCCATTCTGTTGTGATCCCTAGTAATTTATAATCTATTAATATCAAATCCAATTATACCAAGTATATTTTTATATGATACCTTTTTGGAAAATAATTTTGTTTAATTAAAAGCTTGGGCAAGATTATTCTTCTTGCCATATAATGATAGCACATTTATTTACCAAGAACATTGTACTTGTGTAGGTTTCAGCAGATATCTGCTAATACTGCATTTTCTTTGCATGGAGCATGAGGGATAGAACAGCAGTTTTTGTTTCGTTCATATATTCAAAGATGCTTTCATTAAATGTTGATCTCCTTCCGTAAATAAACCGCACAGTGTAACACACAGCAATGACATAATTAACTGCTTGTAATATCAAGGGATGTTACCATGGGAATGAATGATGGTTCCGAAATATTGTTGCTTAGCGCTATGTGTAGAAATTAGAAACAGGTTTTTGATGATGGAAACCATTGTGTGATCTTTGCCTCCTTCTTAGGGCTGTGCATTAGAAAGAGCTTTATTTTTCTCCCCCCCCAGTCACTGAAGAACTGCTAAGGCAGAATGCCTTTTAATGCCTCCAAGGACAAATGTTGAATTTTTTATACTTAAAATGGCCAGACAGGAAAGCCTGTTTTACTTCCGTTCCCACCCTTTCTCACAAGCTTGTCACAGCTTTGAAAAAATAAATAAATCCTATGTTCAATTTTTCTCTTAATGAAATGAAGATATATCCAAACTTGTAAGCCTGTCCTGCAGCTTTCTTCGCAATATAAATGCAGAATATTTCTCAGCTGATTGTGAAAAACTATAGTTGCCATAACTATTACTGCTCCAACATCATCGTAGCTACATTTTCTTGATGCTACTTTTTCACACACACTGGCTTTTTTCAGGAAATAATATTGTCCCTGGTGCATTCAGTATTATGGTAATGCTCTTCAGCATTTTTCTTTCTGTGAGGTAGTTTTCTGTTAGTGCACAAAAATATCTCAAGGCTCAATGATTCAGAAAGCCATAACATACCGGTTAAGTATTAGGATATTATAACCTGTCGTAACATTATTTACTTTTTGAAGAATTTTGATTGTTTCCTCCCTTCTTTCACTATGTGGAAAGAAAAGCATCAAGCTAGCAAGTGCATTCAGAAGTATATTTTCCCTGATAAATGTGACCTCTGTCTGACGTCTTAGAGCAGATCATGAATAATTTGTCTAAGAGACATGCACCCAAACATCACTCAAAAGGCCCCACGGTATCTGCTGGAAAGCTTCTCACTTGCCCTTCACATTTGACATAGAACTGAGTTGGAGGTGTTGGTCCAACATGAAGTCAATCTGGAGGGTGTCAAAGAGCAAAGCTTCATTACGTCCCAGGCTCAAGCCAACACAGCGCTTCTAAATGGTAGTTCAAGTGATACCAGTTAATGACACTGCCATCTGACACCATCTGCTCTTCTAGTGTCTTTAGTATTTGGAACATGTCAGTACTGGCCCAGGATTAAAGCACAGCCTCTTAACAAAAAAGTAAATCAAAACCCTAGAGAAATATCAATCCTCCATAGGCAAGTACTAATATGAGAGATTGTGAAGGATGTTTATGAGCTTGCCAGTTCTGATCCAGAGAGAAAAGTGCTGAATTTTAAAATGTCATCTGTTTATAAGGGACAGGAACCAATCCATCACTCTTCTCTGAGACAGACAAATTTACCATTTGT